TTCGATAGGGTTAAGGAAAGCCTTCAAGAATGTTAAGCTTGGACTAAAAAAGGTGGTAGGTTAATTAGTAAGAGAGAGTTCAGTTTTTTATCTTATTCTCATGAATTTTTAATTTTAATATAAATGCAATTGATCTTAATTTTTTTAATACATCTAATGATGATGAGTTATACAAAAGAATATAATTTTTTATTATTTTTAAATCTCTTTTTACTCGATTTAAGATTTAAATTTGAAATCTTCAACTTTAAGTTTCAAATTCTTAATTATTAAATCACCTTATTGAGATTGCAATTAATTTTAATAGATTAGTCATGAAATATATACAAATTAATCCAAAAACATTTCGATATTTAAAAAAAAAAGGGTGAAGTTCGGAAGGGGAGAAGATGCTAATTAATGATTTCAATCCTTCAAAGATTTAAAGAGGCTCGAAAGCATTCATGGTGCCAGAATTTAGCCTTACTTGAGGCAAAAATTGTCTTGGCAATGATGATTCTCCGGCAGCATTCGTTTACTTTGTCACCAACATATGTTCATGCTGCGATGCAGTTCTTCACATTTTGCAGCCCCAATATGAACCTCAGTAACATTCAATGACTTATTTATTTATTTATTATTATGGTCTCACACTCTTACCTCTTCAAAATGGGCCAAATGGCACTAGTAATTTCGATTAAAAAAATGGCATAATAATTAAATAATCATTTTCATTTTCAACGCCCATCGTTCTGATTTCCTAACTAATCCTGTGGCTGAAGCTGAACCCCCTTATAATGCTCCAAGCTCACTCTCTTGCCGGCGGACACAGACGGAGATTCAATTATGCACTATCTTCATCTCGCGGTCATCTTCCTTTTCATCTGTCTTTTGAGATTCCTGTACTCGGTCCTATGGGTTCCATGGAGAATCCAAACCCACTTTAGAAAGCAAGGTATAAGAGGGCCCGGGTACAGTCCGATCTTCGGAACCATCGCTCAAGTCCGCCGTCTGGACGCTGAAGCTCGGTCGAAGCCGATTCCCCTTGACCACCATGACGTGGTTCGCCGTGTGATTCCGTTCTTCCACACGTGGTCGCGCATTTATGGGAATACGTTCCTCTACTGGTTCGGGTCGACACCCAGACTCACGATCACCGACCCAGATATGATCAAGGAGATTACCATGAATACGGACGGGTCTTTCGACAAAATAGGGAAAAACCCTTTGGCCAAGGTGCTCTTCTCACAGGGACTCGTCGGGTTGACGGGAGAGAAATGGGCTTTTCATCGAAGAATCGCAAATCAGGCGTTTTCCATGGAACGAGTCAAGGTTTTTTTGTGTCTCTATTTCTTTTGATAATAAGAGTAAATAGTATTTGATTTGGTGCTTAACCTTTTGCATCAATCTCATATTAGTTCATATATTTTTCTAATTTAGATGCTAAATTATTTAAATTCATCACTTAGGTCCGAACTTGGTCCAAACACTCTCTATTTGATGGTCCCTATCTTATGGAAATCAAATCAACGAGTAGACTATCATGTATGAAATGCCTTGCAGTCATTAGGCCTTGGGGGTTCGAGTCTGTCTTAAGTGATGTAATATCGTGATTAAATTAAAATGTACCCATTCGAAAGAAAAAGAAGTAGACATTATGGAAATATCATCACCATTGTGCAAAAGGTTAGAAACTAATGTAAGTAAAGACTGTTGTAATATAGGTTAGGGACCAAGTTTAATTTTTTTAATACATATTCCTTTGGTAATGTAATTAACATTGTTTCTGTGGTGGCCAAATCCAATTTCTTTGAGCAGAGTTGGGTACCAGAAATCGTGTCCAGTATTGAGAAAATGTTTGAAAAGTGGGAAGATATACGAGGGGGGAGTGAATTTGAGATAGAAGTGAAAAAGGAACTTCATGATCTTTCAGCTGATGTTATATCGAGAACAGCATTTGGAAGCAGTTTTGAGGAAGGGAAACGGATCTTTATGTTACAAGAGCAACAAATGGAACTCTTCTCACAAGCCATAAGAAGTGTATACATACCTGGTTTCAGGTGACCCTTTTCATGTTCTATGAAAACGTTAGTTAATAGTTTGTCCACTTAACTACCATTTAAGTTCATTGTTTCTTTTTCCAGAGTTTGTTTTATGCAATTTGATGAATTTAAGGTCATTCAACTAATCAAGGGCTTTTTCCTCGAGAAGTATTGAAGGGCTTCTTCTTTTTAAATTCACAGGTTTTTGCCTACTAAGAATAACAAAAAAAGGTGGAGACTAGAGAAGGAAACCCGGGAATCAATACGAATGCTGATCAAGACTAATAGTAAACCAAGAGAAAATTCAACAAATCTGCTTAGTCTTTTAATGTCTTCTTATAAAAATCTGCATGGTCAAGAAGAGAGGTTAGAAGAGGAGGATATAATAGATGAGTGCAAGACTTTCTACTTTGCAGGAAAGGAAACGACAGCTAATCTCTTGACTTGGGCACTTATACTTCTAGCAATGCATCCGGAGTGGCAGAGTAAGGCACGGGAGGAAGTAATTCGTGTTTGTGTAGCTACAGAATCTCCAATTGCGGAAAAACTGAGTGATTTGAAGATTGTAAGATTATTCTCTCCTTAATAAATTTCCATAAAAATACTAGAGAAATATAATCAAATGACCATTTTCTTGTTAACAGGTCAGCATGATTATCAATGAAACCCTCAGACTCTACCCTCCTGCTGTAATGTTGATGAGGAAAGCCTATAAGAATGTTAAGCTTGGAAGGCTTGATATTCCTGATGGAACAGAGTTCTTCATAGCCCTTGCTGCAGTTCACCGCGACGTGGATATATGGGGAAAAGACGCCAACGAGTTCAATCCTTCAAGATTTAAAGAGCCTCGTAGGCATTTGGCCTCTTTTCTTCCATTTGGTATGGGGCCTAAGATTTGTGCTGGCCAAAATTTAGCTTTAGTTGAGTCCAAAGTTGTCTTGGCAATGATTCTCCAGCGATACTCTTTTATGGTGTCACCAACATATGTTCATGCACCAATGCTATTCATCACCTTGCAGCCTCAGTATGGAGCACCGATCATATTCAACAGGATTCTCAAATGAAGATTTGCCACTGTAACCCTGTGTTTTTACACTATAAAATAGAATGTACCATCATAATTGCTAGTTGGTCCCTACCCTGTAATTTATTAAAGTTCTTATAGATTGGAAGTTTGTAAGTTAGACCAGGAAAGATTTGGAAAAGGGATAGACAGTTTCCCTCTAATTATATTTGTAAATTTCCATGTATCATATTAGCGCATGTTTGGTATGATTGGAAATTTTGATAGAAGTTTTCTTTTTTCAAGTAATATGTAAGAGTAGAACTCCCAACCTACTTGACTTCAAGCATTTAGACTTGGATGGTGAACCAAATGATAGAAGTCTTATTTGAAAGAATTTGTTGTAGAAGTCTTGTTTTCAAGAAGTTGAAAATGTTTGATAAAATTTTTTATTGAAAAATTTTAAGAGTGTAAAGTTGTTTAGTAAATTTTTCTATAAAAGATCTTCTAGTTTTGAAATAATTGAAAAATACATTTTCTTTAAAGAAGTATTGTTTATGTCCCTTTTTATGTCATTTTTATAGAGTTTCAATTTTTTTTAAAAAAAAATTTAATTACGTTAAAGTTGATTATTACAAATGAAATTTTTATATTTATAAAATAAAAACACTAGTAATTAATAATTTTAATATAAATAGATAAATAAATCTTTATATTTTAATATTAAAAAATAAAATATGTTATATTTAAGTTTTATAAATAATAAAATAAAAAGAAAAACTAAAAATAACAATCATCTTGACTCATTTTCCATTAAAGATAAAGTTATATAATTTCGAAATAAAGTTACACCATTATCCTCCATTGTATAAGTAAGGTTATTTTGGGAAATTCCTCCATTGTACAATCTTTCTTAATTTGCTGATTTATTTTGAGAAACCTCACTTTCATCCCTTTTCATAATAAGACTATACACTTAAATCACAAGACTAAACACTTATCATAAGAAACATACTTCAATTTTTTTTTCTATAAAGAAACTAAACACTTATTGAGGTGTATGCCTTGACCTATTATACTAGTAGAGAGCTTTTAAGACAACTTGCTATTATGGTGACGATGACAAAATTCAGCACCATCTCTATTGGATGGAAATGGTTAGCCCAAAAAGGAAAAAAAAAAAAAGAAAAAGGAAATGGATGAAATTCTTTGCAAATTATTGAAAGTCAAAGTCATGAATTTTTTATGGTTTTTTCTTCTTTTAGGTTACACTCGGAGAAATTTTTTATGGGCTTCCTTTTTTCAACTTTGGGTTGTACTAGACTTTTGGGGTAGAGGATATATTCTTTACATTATCTTTTTTCTATTTTTTAGAGATATATGCATTCTATATGCTACAAAAAAAAATTATCATATTATTTTCATATGCATGTTTATGGTTTAAAATCACTGCATAATTTTTAAAAACATTATTAAAAAGCATAGATTCATAACATTGTTTCACATTCTACATAGAAATTATAGCTCTACATGTCAAATAATAACACCATAAATATCTTAATACTAAAATTAAAAACTAAAAACTTGAATTCTCAAAACTAAAAATTAAAACCGCAATATTCATACTAGTTCTACATCTCAAATCCTAAATAACATATCAATACTAAAAACTCAAGATCACACATAGGAATATAGGGTAATATCTCACATCCTAGTGCCTTTTAACGCATAGTTTCTCCCTCTCCAACTCTTGTTTTAGCCAAGAAAATTTAGAGTTGATTGATTTTATACTATTAAACATCTCTCTATATTCTCGTTTCATAAACAAACAAGTATCTAACATATATAACTGATTACCATCTTCAACTCTAAGCAAAGTCAACAAAACATATATGCATTCTACAATGCTACCAATAGATGCATCATAGTTTTTCTTTGATGATTCAGTTAAACTAACTGAGATATAACTTTCAACTGCATCACAAAAATGATCCAATTGTCTTTGCATGTATGCTGCACCCCCTCGACTTCACTTTCTTTCCTTTACCTTTAGTTGAACTACCTATTTGTTTTTCCTTTTTTTTCATTGTTTCTTTGGGTTTGTATAGCCATGATGTTCACCTCATTAAAATCACCACTTCCTTCATCTAAATCAACAGAATTTTCAACCATTACTTCACCTACATCTTGTTTTGGAAAAATAGCACCAGTAGCTGGGGTTTATACAATTTCACTAGTGGTCACTACTTTAGCAAACATTATCTCCAATTTTGCTGTATTTTTTAATCCATTATGCCCAAACTTGACATATTCCCTATTATAATAACTAATATCATATAAGATATAATAAATTATGAATTTAAAGTTAAAATTAGCATATTAACATTCAAAATTTTAAAATCATTAATAATAACCAAATGGTACTAACCGCTTTCAATGCAACCTATTGTTGATGAGTATAGCATCAATGGTACCGCATCAATGGTACCTTTTTCATGGTTCCACCCTAATTCTATTTCTTGTTTTAAAAGTTAATTCCACAAAACCCCATCACTTTTTAATGCATCCCACCTATTTCTCAATTGTTTATAAACATAATTTTTATTTGCCCTTTTATTAAAATTTTCTTTTACATTTCGCCACCCTATTTTATTAAAAATATTAGTGGGACAATTACCAGTCATGACCTCTTCAACACATACCTCACAAAAAATTTTGGTTGTAATTGCATCCCATTATGCTTTTGTCCTTTTATCCTTTGAATTAGAATTGCCTACCATCTTATATATTGGAAATGATTTTGTCATTTAAACAATATCTATAAAAATGTAAACTTGACAATATCAATAACTGTAACAATAACAATCTTTAGACATTAATTGTAGCAATTGAGTTTATCAAAAAATTAATTAGTAATTAACAAAAAAAAAAGTTTAAAGAAGAATTAATTTTAATGAAAATAATTTTTGACAAAAAAAGGAGGAAAATAAAGGAAGCAGTGTTCCAGCTGTTCTTAGCTACAAAAAAGCAAAGAAGGTGATCTAGATTCCAGAATGGCTGGAAGCTTTGTGCTGTTCTTTCTGCCATCTCTTCAACCCTCCACCTTCTCTGCTTTCTATTGAAAATATTTAGCTCATTACATCTCCTCTATAACTACCCTAACAATAACTCTATGAAGAAGCAACATAAGACACACGTAGCTTTTATGACAACATAAAAGACATTTAATTAAAAAAAATAGCTCATATTGACTTTCATTTTTAAAAAATCATAAAATCCAACAAAATACTAAAGCATCCTTAAACCAAGTTACAACACTCCTAAAACCTTAAAATTTAAAACTTATATAGCTGTGAGATATTTATAATAACTTGATTCCTTTAATCCAAATCCTTTCTTTATGAGCAAGTTTACCAAAGTAAGGGTACCACAATACACACACAATAGAAATACTGAAATAGAAACAATAGGAGAAGACAATGTGTTTCATACAGAAAAATCTAGTGTTACAATTCAACTCTAGAGGTATTATCAATTTGGTAACTATGAGGTTTTAGAATAGAAACCTAGAAAAGAGAAGCTCCAAAAACCAGACTCACTTTAACATGACAAACTAATCTCTGCATTAGATGAAGGGAAAGGGCTAGGATGAGGATGGTTCACATCAAGCATTAAACATCGAACAAATTATCTTAGAGTCGAGAGGAAAATAATGTAGGGAAGCTTAACTAAGTCATCAATTTAATTAACAAAATATTATGCCCTGAATTTAGTCTAAACTAACGTTGGCCTAGCATATTTGAGATTCAAATACTAAAAACTAAGCATTGAAGCATGGTCAAGAAGACAAAAAGACTACTTGTCATGATTTCATGTTGATTAACTAAATGAAGCAGAGAGCATAAACAAAAACCCAAGCAAAAGAGGAAACCAAAATTCCAAATGCAACATACATTATGAAGTAAAGAAAGAACACAAAACCCTAAATGCTTGAGCATCAACCGCACAAACAGCAAATTAGATGTATATCTTATGAACAAAAATAGCTCTTTTTCAAAAGAAGAAACACAAAAAAGAGAAAAAATAGCAAAAATCGTTCATTACCAAGAAGGAATATTTCAAACTTGAATATTCCCCATGAAGGAATTCTCGGAAAGAAAAAGGGAAACCTCTAACTCCAAGTTACTACTAGCTCAAATCAGATCAAACTAAGTCAACCCAGGTTAACCAAGCAAACCCATTTGTAAGAAATAAAATTTAGGACAAGATTTGGCTCTCCCTCAAAAACTCATCATCAATCTAGAACACAGAAAAAACCATAGATAACTTGCCCTTGAATTTTCTTAGCAACCAAACAAAATGATGAGTGACAAATTATCACATCCATAGAAGGCATTTGTAAATGTACCTTTTGTAGATTGAGGGCAACATCACTTAAATCACTGTACACTGCAATGCGCTAGCAACGAATTGGCAATGAACTGAGTGTAGACAACTAAAATCTCTTTTGCAATAGATATGGGATAAGAAGGATGAGGATGTCATCGAAAAAGTGAGCTTGAGCAAGATCAGAATCTATGGTAATAGATCATTTCATGGGGGATATCTGTAGATGGAAAAGATGGGAATAAGAAAAAAATTAGGGATTTTGGTTATAATTGATGATGTATATATACTGGTTTACTTATAAATTTATTAAAATATGAGAGTAAAATAGATATAATAAGCAAATTTCATTAAAATGGAGGCAAAAGCATGCATAAAAGCTCCAATTTTGTGCTTCCCCATTTTCACAAGGTGGAAGCTAGGATTAGCTTCTCATGAGCTAAAGTAAATTTTGCAAGTTTGAGTGTTTGGTACAACTAATGCTTTTAAACTTCAAAAGCACTTCTCAACAGCTGCACTCCAATCATGCACTAAATTGAATATGCATTTTGGAGGATCATGCCTTTCAAACTGGCCAAATTGTAGATTCAACAAGGGCAATAATATTTTTATAAATAATAGAATTGAAAATGAAAATAGGTGTCGATGGAAACAAAATAGCCATATTTATTTAATATGACATGTATCAATTTAAGATTGAGGAAAGTTAATATCTTTTAATTTTTTTTTTTTGAAAGTAATATCTCTTAACAATTAAAATACTCTTAATGAATTGACATGCAAGAAATATTAATAAAAAATATTTGAATAATTTTACTGAAACTTTTCTCTTCAATTTCTTATTTCTAACTAAATTTATATTATATGCCATTAAAAACATTAGCTGAATTTATTTTTTGAAAAAAATATGGGACCTCAAAATCCAATCCCTAAAAGAGGTGGGATTAAGAGCGCAAATGTAAGCAAAAAAAAAAAGAGGTCAAATTCATAAAATAGTGAAAAATATTGGGACCGAAACAGAGAATGAAACTGAGCATCCTCGGTCGAGCCTCCTACCAAGTTGGACAAATGGATTGATTAGAAACAAAAAGTGGCAAAAATATCAAATTAACAGATTAGTAAATTTTCGAATTGACAATATTATCCTCACCACACTCCCTAAACGACAAAAGAACTTCGACAAATACACCTTTTTCCACAGTTAAATCTGTCATTTCAACATGGGGGCTATGCCCGTCCAAATGCACACCGCAGTAAATTTCCTTTGTGGCATTTTTAGATTTTTTTTTTTTTTTAGGGTTCATTCCATCTATTTTGGTGAGAACTTTCCGGATTTCCGTGATTCTCTTTCTACCACCCTTCATCGATCGTCAAAGGCGAGAAGGAGAAATCGAAAGCTCGTGCTTTCCACCTAACTCTTGAAGATTTGGTGTTTCTGGTTCCTGTGGTCTGTAACAGCTGATAACTGGATTCTCGTCAGTATGTCCGCACCGATTGTTGTGGTCTTCGTTCAAGCTCACGGTATTCCAGGGTTGATGGGTTAGGGTTTGGATCGAATTCCTAAAGGTGCCACTCGCTGTTCTGATTTATTGCGTTTGACTTTGATTCTGTGATTCTTGGTTTATTATTGTTTTAGGTTTTCTCTCTTATTTTGCTGAATCTTAAGGACTTAATTCATGAGTTTCTTAAGGAGGAATATGTTGGCGTTTCTTCTTCTCTATATCGTTTTCTGGGTGCAAAGACCCTCCCTTTGGTAAAAAAGATTAATTTTTGCCTTTTGGGTTCTGTGCATTGCGTGTTGGTTTCGAATAAAAACTTGGGTTTGCGGGTTTTCTGTTTTATGGGTTTTAGTTTTGTTATCCAAAGTGTAAAAGTTTATCAATTTTAACTTGTTACTTGCAATTATTTTTCGCCCTTTTCAGGTTGCTTTGTTCGTGTATATGTTGAAGGAATTGCAGGAATTATCTTTCTAGTTAGTAATCTAAGGATAGATGTGTCAGGAGTTATGAGATTTTCTTCTGCGTATTGTTATGACCACCGCGTTTTTTGTAATAAAGGGTTTCAAGCAATTTTGTTTTGCATAGGAGGAAAAAGATGCCGTCTTCTTATTTTACAAGATTGAGAAGTGCAGTGCAGAATGGAATTCATAGGACTGTGAATGGTCAAGAGTTTGGGCTTCTAGATTCACTGGATGGGTTAATTGGACAAGGGAAGTTCGGGTTTGGCAATTATAGGTTATTTCATTCTTTGCAGTTCTCTGCTCTTGTAGACCTTCAAGTACTTTTGCAGCCAGGGACTGTTTTTGCTGCTAGATCAGATTCACTGTTGGGTAACCGAAGAAGGAACCTTTCTGTTGTTGAAGCGCTTTCAAGAACTTTTTCAGTTCCATCTGTGTCAGGCCCTGCATTCCAGGTTTGTGGCTATCACATTGATCGTGCCCTTTCAGACCCCATTCAAATTCCCATCAGCAAGTTTCATAGTATACATATGGCTGCTTCTGGTTCTAGAGCTCCAGTTGGTGCATATCATCTAGATACTTTAACTTCAAGGCATGGGAATCGTTCATTGTCAACTAGTGCTGGCATTTTTTATAGTGACAGAAGTCTTTCCAGCTGTAGAAAAGTTAGCATGAGTTTGAAGCAAAATACAGAGAAACCAAACAGGTCTCAAATTTATGGATACCTCATATTTAGTGCTGGAAAGAGATGCTACAACTTTGATCATTACTTTCTGTCAGGACCAAGGGATTTCCATAGCTCGTCTCCTAGCTGCTTGTCTGCTGGGACTGCTCCAGATGTGTCATTTGATAATTCTTCCCGTGAGGATCAGCTTGCAAGTTCTGCAGTGTTATCAGAAGAGTAAGTTCTAATTGCATTGCTTTATACTATTTTTTTAACCTGCTAAATTTTTTTGTAAGTACTTAAAAGCAGTTGTAGACATACATTTCCTATATGCTCTGAATTGATATTTATTAAATTGCTATTACAACAGGAAAGGTTCCACTGGAAAAAGTCTGAAGCTACTTTCTGGATCATGCTATCTGCCTCATCCTGACAAAGAAGATACTGGTGGGGAAGATGCTCACTTTATTTGTTCAAATGAACAAGCAATAGGTGTGGCAGATGGAGTTGGGGGGTGGGCAGATCTTGGTGTCAATGCCGGACTGTATTCCCGGGAACTCATGTCTAATTCAGCAACAGCAATTCGTGATGAACCTAAAGGTTCAATTGACCCAGCAAGGGTCCTGAAGAAAGCTCACTCTAATACAAGAGCCAGAGGTTCCTCAACAGCATGTATTATAGCACTTACTGACCAGGTAAGCAATTTATTTTTCTGGGCATGCCTATATCTAACAGCTTTTTCTGTGTGTTTGTGTTTTGTATCAGTTCATTATTAGAACTAAAAAGTAGTGTATTTTTTAGGCTAACTCATCTAGTAGATTTGTAGCCAAGTAGTTATTTAAATGATGTGTGTAGAGAGTGGTGACTGAACCTGCAGTTGAATTCTCTATTCCAGTGAATTTTGGGAACCAGGGAGTTCTATTATTTATACAGGCAGTGACCATAAAAATATTCAGGCCATATGCCTTGAAGAGGGGAAAATGAAAAAAGAGAAAAAAAAAAAATTAACTGTTTATTTCTTGCTGCTTTGAGACTTGAAATGAAGAATAGGATCAAAATTCAAGTTATGTGTTCTTAGTTTAGTTACCAAGTTACCATTGAGTCATTGACTCCACCTTTTTCTTCTTTTGCATTTGCTGGTTGAACAATAACTTTGTTGGCCTTACTTGTGAATGAAATATGGTAATTGTTTGGAATCTGTTGCAGGGGCTACATGCAATTAACTTGGGAGATAGTGGGTTTATGGTGGTTCGAGATGGATGCACCATCTTTCGATCCCCTGCACAGCTGCATGGCTTTAATTTCACATACCAACTTGAGAGTGGGTTTAATGGTGATTTACCTAGCTCTGGTCAGGTAGTTACGCATGGTCCTTCGGTGTTTATCTTCCAGAAACAGCTCATGCTGTAAATTTATGAATTAGGAATATGTGGTTGCATAATGATTTCAAACGAAATGATCATGACATCTTTTTACAAACTGAGTAGTTTCTTTCCAAATCAGGTCTTTACAGTTCCTGTTGCTCCTGGAGATGTTATAATTGCTGGAACAGATGGATTGTTTGACAACTTGTACAACAATGAGATTACTGCAGTGGTAGTTCATGCTGTGAGAGCTGGCTTAGGACCTCAAGTAACTGCTCAAAAGATAGCCGCATTGGCACGACAACGAGCACAGGATAAAGACCGACAGACACCCTTTTCTACTGCTGCACAGGATGCTGGATTCCGATATTATGGTGGCAAGCTTGACGACATCACTGTTGTTGTGTCATTTGTGACTAGTGCCAATGAAGTATTTCTCTCTCGTCCCTAAATTATTGCTATCTCTTATTTTTAATTCCAAGTCATAATCTTTAATAAGATGCTCAAATCTTAAAGTTGTCTATTATATTCAAGAAGACAACTTACAATGATGTTTCCTGCTTTGATTAAATCAGTGTCTTTTTCAGCCAACAAAGAGTGTCAAACTTTAAGATTCTGATATTTCTTTTTCCTTGTGATGCAGGAAGACAAGTCCTCTTCTTAAGCACGTGGTCCTGTTCTGGAAGAGTTTGTGAGCCGGATTACTTCATTTATTATTGCATAGATCCAATTTTGTTATTAGGGACCAAATTATTATGTTAATGGCGTGGCTGGCTCTCTGCCGGTGTAGGAGTTCCCTCGTTGTCATGGAGCCATCTCTGCTTTTAATGTTCTTCCCTCTTTTGTCCGCTAAAGGAGTTATGGTTACTAGCACAAGATGCTCTTCACTTTCAAACGACAATCATTGTAAATAGTTAGTTATTTAAGTAGTATATTGTATATTGTAGTTCCTTCCTCTCTTTTTTTTCTTGCTGGGTGGGGGGGGGAGGTGGTTGGGGAGGAAGTGCCTTCCTGTTGTTTAATATCGTTTTGGATGTTTCTTTTCACCTTTCTATGAACTTCACTTTTTTTTTAAATTAAAAATTAAACTTGTTTTGTGCAATTTCATCATTCAAAACTTATGATTGGTTTGTTTTAATTAATTTAACCTTCTGTTTTCTAATCAAAAGTAAGTATTTGTTGGTTCTTATTCGATTTTGTATCCTTCCTGTTTAATTTAATTATCTTATTTTATCTATTCACAATTGTTATTTTTACATTTGCCTATAATTAAATTAGCATATTTTAATTTACTTTTATTTCTTCTAAAATAAGAATGAAATTAAAAAATTAATAGTTATTAATATATTATATATATTAGAAAAATTAAAATACTAGGATGAATAATAAAAAAACTAAGTGTATAATAAATTAATAAAAAAATTAAAATTATTTTATTAATTAATATTTTTAAATATTATAATTAATTATTTAAAAAAATATAAACATATCAAATTAGTTAAATTAAACACATTTACTATATTACCTTAACAAAATATTGTGCATCAATAACCACTCCCTACCTAGTTTTTTAGGAAAAACAAAGTAGAGTCGTATGATCTAAAACAATACTAGTAAATCTAACTATTTAAATAATTCAGTAATAATTTTTTTAATAAAAGTAAAAAATCTTATATTTGAATTGCATATAATGTGAGTGAAATAGATTAAGGGATGAGAAAAAATTGTATTTTATTATATAGTTAAAATAAAATAAAATAACTAATAAATCACAACGAGAGGTGTGGTTATGACTATTTACTATTTTGTTAATGTCATTTAATTTAACTCTTAAAAATAATTGATAACTATAATTAATTAGTATTTATTATTTACAAAATTAAAATCAATTTACAAATTGTTATTTTTAAATATCATAATTTTAATAATTTTTTAAAAACTTACAAATATATAAAATATCAATTAAATTAAATAACTTTTAGATGATCTTAACAAAACAAAGGAGGACCATAACCAACCCCACATTGAAGAGTGTAGTTACGATTACCTGTTATTTTATTAGAACCACTTAAAAGCTGTTTAATTTAATTGATATTTTATTTATTTGTAATTCTTTTAAATAATTAATAATAATATCTAAAAATATCAATTTATAAATTAATTTTAATACATTAAATAATAATAAATATAATTTATTATTAATTTTTAATAATTAAATTAACTTAATTTAATAAAATAGACAGTGATTATTACCATACCCACATTAAGACATTTATTTATCCCAAAAAACAAAACAAAACAAACAGTGGGGCAGTGAGGGATGCATGTGGCTGATGAACAGAGAGATGGTGGGGGTGATGGCGGTCAAAGACAGACAAATATTAAGTTGAGGATTCAGACTTCAGAGTCCCTAACCCAAAATTTAAAATGCTGACTGCTGATGAGTTGGCCGAGACGTATGTCGGTGCGTGTCAAGGCGGGTGGGGGCCTTGTTCTTACTTTTTGGCCCTGGCATTTCACAACTACCATTGTGAAATGTGCGCAGAAAACACATGCGGGGAGGGGAGTTCTGGGCCTTGAATGCAGGTTCACTCAACAAAATGCAGCGAAAGCTCCATGGCCTTCTTCCATTTTACCTCCCACATGTCTTGTCCATTGCTACCCTGCTGCTGTTGTGCTTGTGTAGCGTTTTGTATATTTGATGGGTGGGTCGTTTACTCATTTCACAACGTCTGGTTAAGTTGCTCTAGTGGACAGGGCCTTGTTGGGTTGACTACTGAGAAATGGGCTTTTTATAGGAGGATCGCAAATCAGGGCTTCTACAGGGAATGGGTCAA